ATCAAGGAGGAGGCAGCACAAGTGGGTACCAGCAGGAAAAGCCTGTGATAAAGAAGGTGCTGTGAAAGATGTGGGGAAATAGCCCAGGAGTTTCTAGCTGTCTCACACCTGGTGTGGGAGACTTTTACATACAGCAGCTTTTACAGGGCCCTGGGCTGGAGTAGAGGGTGGACTAGGTCCCTTCCACCTCCCATTTCTGCTCGAGAGGTCCCCTCCACTCCCCCCCTCCCCATTTCTGCTCGAGAAAAAGACTGATTGGGAAAAAGAAAAGGGTTTATCCAGCCCTGTGTCATTTTTGAGGATCCACTTAGACTGTGACATTTAGTTTCCTCTGTTCCTCATGCTGGTCAATGATGAGAGTAGCTCAACAAACAAAATGGTGCCTAAATTGAGGGCTGCTGTGAGCCTCTTGGGCAAGCAATCCTCCTGAAAACACAGGCCCACCAAGGTTGAATAGGAGCTTTGTCACATTCCCTACAACAATTCAATGAAACTTAGATGTAAATAAGTTAACTAGCAATGTTCCTTCTAATTTTTTCCATCCATGTACAGAATACATTTTTATGTGTACTGAGGCATATGTAGATGAGCACCACTAGTAAAAACAACAAATTTAGCCACACTGACCAAACACATTTGGGAAGCTTTGGTACAACTCATTTGATCTCAAAGGTCAAAACTACTAACAGTATTTTTCAGCCACTGGAGACTTTAGATCCCCCAAAGCACTTGTTTGGCTGAATGTCTGCTCCCTCAGTTAATAATTCCACATCCTATCAAATAAAATGATTCTTCATGGACAGTAAATAATATGATTTTAGATATCTACAAAGATATATGCAGCTGGCACAAAGATAGAGTTATACAAAGTGTACTGCTTCTATACACATCCTTTGGTAAAATAATTATATGGCTTAAAATGGGAACACAGAAAAATGTGAACCACTAAAGGAAGAATTACAAATAGTTCCTTCTAATAGTTGAAGATGATATAAACTTCAACTAGTCAACAAACAAACCAACCAACCAACCAACCAACCAACCAACCAACCAACCAACCAACCAACCAACCAGTGTTCTGGCTTTTCATGTAGAGCATGGAATCATGTCAGATTTTGTCTACATTTTTTGATTTTGTGGGATATAGTAAAATACATCTTGAACTATAGCACAAGGGAACAGCAAAGCAATTGATCCCTAGTCATGGACAGATGTAGACAGATGCAACATATTGGCTACGTCTAGACTGGCATGATTTTCCGGAAATGCTTTTAACGGAAAAGTTTTCCGTTAAAAGCATTTTCGGAAAAGAGCGTCTGGACTGGCACGGACGCTTTTCCGCAAAAGCACTTTTTGCGGAAAACAAATCTGAGCTGTCTACACTGGCCCTTTTGCGCAAAACTTTTGCCCAAAAGGGCCAGTGTAGACAGCTCAGATTTGTTTTCCGCAAAAAAGCCCCGATCACCATTTTCGCGATCGGGGCTTTTTTGCGGAAAACAAATCTGAGCTGTCTACACTGGCCCTTTTGCGCAAAACTTTTGCGCAAAAGGGACTTTTGCCCGAACGGGAGCAGCATAGTATTTCCGCAAAAAGCACTGATTTCTTGCAGTAGGAAGTCAGTGCTTTTGCGGAAATTCAAGCGGACAGTGTAGACAGCTGGCAAGTTTTTCCGGAAAATCAGCCACTTTTCCGGAAAAACTGGCCAGTCTAGACACAGCCATTGTGTCTACTATAATCTAGAGAACTGGAACACAGAAATGTCAGGAGTATGGAAAGTGTAGACAAAGACATTAGAAAGATTCTTGCATTTTCCTTCAGGAATGGCTGGCTGCAGAGTCAGCCTCAATGCTCTCCTCTAAGAGAAAGGCATTGGTCTTCCAATATGCATGTAAACAGTTTTATGTCTGTGTGGACTATGCTTATATGGGGACACACAGGGAGATATGACTACTTACTTATCAGGAAGTTCCTTCCAAAACTCTGAGCTATACAGCAGCCATAACAAACATTTTGAATACCAAAGTGGAGCAAGATTAATGCTAAGCATGACGAAGAGCCATGAATAAAGAATTCGCACATTATTGCAACTCATAAAATATGAGACCTAATTTTCATCTTACATCAGTTTTACACCTGTGTTGTTCCACTGATTTCTGTGTGATTTACTCCTGATTTTTAGCACTCTGAGAGAAAGGCAAAGACCAGTGTTCTCTCTGGGCCACTTAACATGAAGTGTAATGAAGATGAATATGTTGCAAAAGAAAAAGTTTAAATTATGAAGTGCCTCCACATATTGCGGTAATTAACTCAACTTTTAGAAAAGCAACTCCAAATCAGTATGTATAACACAGCTCAAACCTTATTGTTGATTCTAATTACTTTGCCCATACCTGGAGCAAAACAATGTTTTCTATGTATGAGGGTTGAATATAAAGGGCCTGATATGCCTTTCACTTCCAGTAGTGTGAATCATGTCAATGGAGTAACATTGATCTAAAACTGACATATAGGAAAGCCAAATCAGGATCACTATCTTTTTTTGTCTTTGTACTCATTCCCAGTTCATCTCATTATGGAAATGTCAATAGCAATTCCATAGTTAAGATTGGGTTGAGTTCTGCATTTAAACTGAGATTACATTTTGAGAACATGGTATTGTACAATTAAAATCCAAAGGGACATATCCTAAGTGGCTGTCAGTCAGCATAACTCCATTGAAGTCAATAGTGTTATGATTTACACTAGCTGCAGAGATGGTCCAGAGAATTTTAGTTGAAAGTCATTTTTGTAGTTGGGTCCATTATTACTACAGGAATGTGTAGTCTAATAAAATATATTAATCTTCAACGAATTCCAACAAACTTATTGTAGATAATGCAATAGGAATTAATTAACACTTAGAAGTTGAGAAGAACCATAATCTTACTATTCACACGTGCTTCTATTTGTATTAAAACATTTCTCTCTTGATATATATGAAAAAACTTTTCCTGTGGGATGACAGAGTGACGTCATTATGTCACTCTGCATCCTGCCTGCTTCCTCCTTCCCTCCCTCCTCCGCAGTCCTCAGGGGGCAGGTGCTGCACAGCCTCCCTCCTCCCCGGTGTTCCGGGGAGGAGGGAAACCTGCCATGACATCCTCGGCCCACCCCTACCCTTTGCCTGCTGGAGAGAGAGAGTCGGGCCTGCCACACCACGGCGTCAGCCTGGCCCAACCTCCCGGCAGCCAGAGGGAGAGAGCAGGACCTGGTGAGGCCTTGGCCCAGCCCAACGTCTCAGTAGCTAGAGAGAGAGAGAAAGACCTGCTCTGCTGCAGCCCAACCCCCCCAGCGGCTGGGGAGGGGGGCGAGAGCCGGGCCTAATGAGGCCTCAGCACAGCCCGCCATGCCTGCACCTGGCCCTCCTCAGCGGCCGTGGGGAGAGCCAGGTCTGCCTACCCCCAGAGAAAGAAGGATTGGTGAGCACAGCAAGCAGGGGGCGCTGCCCCCTTGTACTGTATAAAAAGGGGAAAATGGGCAATGTCGTCAGCAATTGCGATCAGCCTGTTTTGAAATGGATAATTTTTGAACACAGCTTTCCTTGTCAACAACAAACCCAATCAACATGGTAACATTTACTGTACTTATTTGAGAAGATTCTCTAAAATGGGAGTACTCACCCAAGTGAGCAAAGGGCCTGCAATCTGGTTCTACCCTAATCCCAATCTGCTCTCTACCCTTCAATACTCTGATTCTGAACGCCAATCGGCCCACTCTTTGAAATCCCTCCTACCCATCTTTTTCCACCACCTCTCAGATAACAATTTTCTTTAAAAATATAATTATCTAAAAAGGATAGAAAACTAGGACCACCAGTGACAATTACAGTTACCTATATGTTGACGTTATTGGTCCCAAGGGTATACTCCTTTTAAATACAGGGAATCTGAAACTGAAAGATTCTTTCAAAATAAAATAAACCTATTCAGTGCAACTACTGTACCATGATGTACTCTGTATCATTCAGCAACTTCATAACCTTATTCAGCTCCTACCCTTTTCCTTTAGTTATTTCCCTCAGTATCCTGTTTTGTGTGCTGTCTTTTGCTTACTACAAAAATCCTCTATACACAGCTAGGCTTTGCCTACACTGCTGCACTATTTTGGGGTACCGTAGGTATCCTGAAATACCTATTCTGTGTCTTTTGAGCACGTCCATTATTTCAAAATATAATGGGCTCGCTATTCCAACGACCCTGTAAACCTTATTCCGTGAGGAGTAAGGGACATTTTGAAATAGCGATTTATTACGAAATACGTGCTGTTTAGACTGTGCCAAATTTTGAAATAAGCTATTTCAAAATTAACTCGAAATAAGCTACGCAATTTGCATAGCTCAAATTGTGTAGCTTATTTCAAGCTTTTGGTGCAGTGTAGACGTACCCCTATAGTGTTATATTCACTTATATTTGATAATAATATTCAAAACTCCATGTCAAACCATAGATATACCAAGTAATATTTGAAAAGCAAATAAGTGATGTAAGAGCTTAAGTTCCAAAGTGACTTGAGTATTTAGGGCCAGATTTTCAAAAGTAATTAAGTATATAAAGATACAGAGAAGCTTTTCAAAAGTTCATAAGCAGATTAGGCATCAAATTCCCACTGAAATCAAGAGTCTACATTTATTGAAAATCAATGACACTTAGGCTCTTAAGTGCCCAAGTCACTTTAGAAAATGGGATTTAGGCACTTCTGGAATTTTTACTCACAGTCACTAAATTCATTATATAATACAGTATAATGGATCAAGGAAATCACTAACATCTGAATGAGAGAGAACCACTGTCATCAGTTAGGATTAAGATTTGTTTCTTAAAATGTGTTTTTTAAATCATCAAGCAAAATGAATTATTTGAAGGCAACAGATCTTTGTGCTGCTAGTTGCAGTTTGGAGGTACATACCGAGTTTGGTTATTGCCTGCTCTAAAAATCTATCCTTAATAATAAAAGAAACATACCTTCACAAGTCAGTAAGAAGTACTCCATGTTGTGACTGAATGATGCACTGAAATAAGTACAGTTTTCAATCAAATCACAGGACAGACACTGCCTGTTGAAGTTTCCATTTGTGCTTGCACTGAAAAAGTTAATACATGTACAGGAGGGTCAACTAAGCAAGGGTTACATTGAAGCAATATATTTTGAACTTTATTGCAGTGAGAGAAAAAGAACATTAATGTGTTCAGCGTTACTAACAGACTAGGCAATCTAAATTGCTAGATTGTGTTTTTTTTACAAGAACTGAAAAGATAAATAAAGGGCGTTGGTGGCTTTTGTGCAAGGCATGTGGTTATATTTGAGGGCTACAGCTTTTCAGAAAATGATGAATGCACCTGAACTTTCAATATAAAAATAACGCGTTTTAATTCAGGGAATAGACATGTAATTAAGAATTGTTTCTATGCTACATTATGTTTACTGCAGACAAAAGAGAACTAGAGATCTTTTCTTTAAGAGGCAGTTTTTATGACTTGCTACGGGCTGCCTCATAGAAAATCCTCTGTCTTTGCATCTAAATAGGGGGCTAACCACAACATCTAGCTAGAACAAAAAGAACCTGTTTTGCCTGCTTTATTTTTGAAGTACAAAGTCTGTCCTGTGCATGTGCTAAAGAGTACCATGCCAGATAAAGACTAAATTACTATTTATTAACAATGAGGAGCCTATGGCACCTTATAGATTTACAGTTTTATTTGGATATATGCTTTCATGGGCAAAAACCACTCTGTTAGACACACAAAGTGGTTTTTACTACAAAAGATTATGCCCAAATAAATCTGTTAGTCTATAAGGTGCCACAGGATTCCTCATTTTTGCAGATATAGATTAAAATGGCTATCCCTCTGACATTTATTAACAAATAATAAATAACACTTAGCACATCTATAGCAATTTGCAACTTCAAAATACTTTATGAGCATTAACTAAGTAATCCTCAGAACACCCCTGTGAGACATGCCTAGAGTATTCTTCCATTTCACAGGTAGCAAAACTGAAGTGAAGCAGCTGTGTGAACTGGTCAAGACCAGAGGAATCATCACTGACAGATCCAGGGTCATGCCCAGTTCACCCCAGCTCCCATTCCTGTTTTCTCTTTAGCTCACACTTTCTTTTATGAGAGCCAACCCAGTGCATCTTACTTATTCAGAATTTATATACCGAGGGCCAGATCCTCAGCCAATATAAATTGTCACAACTCTATTGACTTCAATGGGGCTATGACAATTTATGAAAGTCAAAGCTCTGTCCTTTACAGTTCACTACATGAGTCACCTTCCAAGGCTGGTGGGGTTTGGCAATGTGGAAGCAATGTGAATCATGCCAATATTTTCTGTGAAGGAATTCTCCCTGAATTGAACTTTCAAACTTAGTTTTGTTCGCTCCAATACAAATGCCTAGCCCAAACAGATTGGTTACGTCTAGACTGGCCCCTTCTCCGGAATAGTCATTCAAAGCAGGTAAGTCAGAATAGGGAAATCCACGGGGGATTTAAATATCCCCCGCGGGATTTAAATAAACATGTCCGCCGCTTTTTTTCCGGCTTGGGGAAAAGCCGGAAAAAAGCGTCTAGACTGGCGCGATCCTCCGGAATAAAGCCCTTTTCCGGAGGATCTCTTATTCCTACTTTGAAGTGATCCTCACTTTGAAGTAGGAATAAGAGATCCTCCAGAAAAGGGCTTTATTCCGGAGGATCGCGCCAGTCTAGACGCTTTTTTCCGGCTTTTCCCCAAGCCGGAAAAAAAGTGGTGGACATGTTTATTTAAATCCCCCGCGGATTTCCCTATTCTGACTTACCTGCTTTGAATGACTATTCCGGAGAAGGGGCCAGTCTAGACGTAGCCATTCAGTATGATTTATTTAACTAAAAAAATGCTGAAAGTAGCCCAGCCTCTCACAAAGCTCTGCTGAGAGCAGTGGGCAAATACAGAAGCTAAGAAGGAAGGGGAAAAAATTCATGACTGGAATTTCAGTTTGTTGTAGTTCCTTTCCCACTTCAGAAAAAAAAACACATTACATGCATGGGATGTAAATATACTAACAATCTTATCTCAAATGAAGTTAGCTCTTCAGTGTGGATGCTTTCAAGGCAGGAAAAAATACCACAAGATGGGATGAAGGAAGGATGTTGGAAAACAAGAATACAACAAACATAACTGTTAGTATGTGCATCCATTTCCTCATTTGTAAAATGGGGATAACACTGCCCTCCTGTCCAAGGAGTTGTAAGAATTAATAAATGTACATTTTCCAGTGCTTAGAAATCTGTACAAGTCAAAATAAGGTTGGATTCTTGGCAACTGAAACAAGCATTTTCCAGGATGGAATTTTTGTTCTTTACTCCTTTTTCATTCTCACACAGCAATGTATTTATTAGCTGTACTATAGACACCATGTATGTAATTTGAACATTCTTTACCTATTATACAACCATTGGGAACATATTGGAGCCATATGAAATTGCAGAAAAAACATTAATGAATGTTCAGAAATTTTATTCTGCTTAATATGACCACGAAAGATACAAATGTATGCAACGATACAGCTTTTTTTTACAGGGCATAACAATTTGTTTGAAAATGTTTCCATTTTAATGTGCCATTTGCTGTAGAATGAAACCAATTTCTAATTGGCAATGAAGTGAGAAACTGATCAAATTGTAAACATTTTAAATGTGTTTGCAAACCTCTTTTCCATTTTGGTGACATATTCATATTTATTTCTGAAATTCAGTTGGAGAACAAACAATGTCAGTTATGAGGGGCACAATCCATTTTCTGTGATGACCTCATTCATAGAGGAATAACTGGAAAACGATCTCAATGAAAGAACTGAAAACATACCTATATAAGTGTCGCCGTCTTGGTAAATCTTCTGTGCTGAGGAAGTAACTAAGAATAGAAAGTACAGCAATGAGAAGTAGAGTTTTGGAAGGGGATTTACAAATCACAGAATCATAGAATACTAGGACTGGAAGGGACCTCGAGAGGTCATTGGGTCCAGTCCCCAGCCCTCATGGCAGGACCAAATACTGTCTAGACCATCCCTGATAGACATTTATTTAACCTACTCTTAAATATCTCCACAGATGGAGATTCCACAACCTCCCTGGGCAATTTATTCCAGTGTTTGACCGCCCTGACAGTTAGGAACTTTTTCCTAATGTCCAACCTAAACCTCCCTTGCTGCAGTTTAAGCCCATATTATTAAACATCATCTCCATCCTCATGTCTATCCTGTGAACATTTCCTTGATCTTGTGAGGCAAACTGAAAGTATACGTGACTTCTCTATTTCACTAAACTGGAAAAAACAATCAGAAGGGCCTTCGCTTCAGCACAGGAAATATTTGGTAAACTGCATAGCAATTTAAAATAAAAACAAAAATATTTCAATGGTGAAGTGTATGTGATAGTTGTGCTTCAAGGTAAAAGTGTTCCATGCAAAAACCCGCCCTGAATTCAGGTATGTAGGCCTGGCTTGATATGAATAATTGGACAAGGGTGAAACCCCATTTCTTGGGAGACAAGATTAGGCAGGTAAATGGATCAGCAGATTGGAAATAGAATTGTCTGTACTAACTAAGATGGTGGTGTTGGTGGGGATATTCAGGGGATCATTTACTGTGAAAAAAATAACAACATATACATAAGTTGGGAACATAAAGATTCAGTAAAGAGTAAGTTGTACAAGGGCAGCGAGTGGACAGGGCATGCTATACAGCAGGGGCAGGCAAAATATAGCCAGTGGGCCAGATCCAGCCTGCCAGGCCTTTGGATCTGGCCTGCAGCCTTTCAGGACCCTTAGGCAGACTCCCTACCTGCCACAGCCCCAGGCCACTCAAAGCAGCCAGGGGGGTTGTGTGCCTCTAGGTGCTGCGTGCCCCTTGCGGGCCAGACCTAAAAGATAAAAACCTGTTAGCTTGCCATTACACCGACATCTTTACTTACATTTTATGCCTCTTTTCATCATATGCCAAAATCTTTGTCACGTCCCAATCACCAGATGTAATGGACTGTAAGTTATCACTGCTGCTATTAGGCTGGCAAGAAAAAAAAAGTGTTTTATTTTTTCTGAAAAGACAACACTTGAAAAAGACTAAAAAAAATTGTTTTTATTTTTCAAAACACAGAGCTCTCGTGACTCCTCCATGACTTATTAAAAATAATCACTCATTTGTGATTCTCCCCCCAAAGTACTGCTATGAATTTGCAGACATTCTTAAATGTACTGAATCAGATTAATCTCTGGCATATCTGCATTGATGATAATGGGATTAATTGGACCCAACATAAATAATACATAAGGAAGTCCTTTCCCTTGTTCATCTTCTGCCCATGGATTCTGGTTAATAACCTCAGATGACTGTGCAGAGAATCATTTATTTAGAAATAATGGAGGAGGAGTTTGTTTAAAAAAACAACCCATAACATTCTTTGAATTTTGCTTAAAATGTGAAGACCTTTTAATTATTATTCTAAGCAAACTGCATCAGTTCAAATTATTGTTCCTCATATGCCTGAAATGCTACTAGCCTCTAGCCCAGTTAAGGTATTCATCCTCATGGCCAGAGAGTTTCAGACTCTACATAGACACCTCACCATATCTTGGGTTTAAACACAGATATCTGTCCATGGCATGTTGTAGTCAGCAATGGCAAAGAATAACAACAGTGGTTGTTTTCACCTGTGATGACGACATGGCAATATGGTAGAATTTTCCTCGTCCTCCTTGAGGAATGGCTCGGATGAAGAAAAACTTCCGTCCATCTTTAGAAAAGATTGGCTCTTCATTCTGCAAATGTCAATCAAATGGGTTTAATTGTCATTAGATAGGGCTTCTTGGTGTTTTTTAAAACTCTTCAAAACTTGCAAAAAATGAAGCACTTTCTAACAACCTAAGACAAAGAAACAGCTTCCTCAAAACAGAGAAGAAAGTCCTGAAATTCTGAAACCCCTTGTTTTTCTGTCCACTGAGGAGCAATTTTCTTTTAGCTAGCTTCTTTTGGAATTAAAGGCAGACAGGCAATAAGGAAGCATTCTTGGTTTCAAAGGAATATCCATTTGTGAAGCACAAAAAATCTACATACCTACAGAGAAGCTTTTTAGGGGGTAACCAGAATGAAGCACTTTTATAAGCACACATTTAGCAGTGTGTGGCAAACCTTGTCTACTCAGCTGGAAAAACTGCATTGGGTTGTGTATTATTCAATATACATTTTCTTAAAGAAACACCATTGACGTCTTTCAGAGTCTAAGTCCAGTCTCCTTCCCTTCCTTCTCATAGAAGATTAGTCAGGGGCGGATATAGGGCAGGGCGAACGGGGCGGCCACCCTGGGCCCCACGCTTCAAAAAGCCCCCCTGTGATTAGTTTAGGGAACTGGCTTTTAAGCTGGCTCCCCCCAGCACTGGCTCCTGCTCTGATCTGCCTCCCCTTGCTGCCTCTGATATAGAGGCAGCAAAGGGGTGGGGGGGGGGGGGGGGGGGGGGGGAGGAGAATGGCTACCAGGTGAACCTGGTAATTGATTTTCATCCCATTTTTATGACTTTCAGTCAGAGAAACACAAGGTACTGTGTATGGAAAATTAAAAAAAAACTGCAGATAGCAAATAGTTCTTTTCAGAAAACTGCTTTGTTTTCCACTATATGAATCCATGGGTGGATGGGATCTTTTTATTGGAAGAAGCTACAACAGAACTCAGAAGACTCCGATATATATGACAGCAGAGAGTGGCAAAAATCATTAGCTCCCTATATCATGGCATTCAGCTGGTTGCACATCCTTTGTTCTAGGTTTTCTTTGTAGAAAGGCTGGTTACTAAAATAAAACTTTCAGAAGTGCATATTGAATTAATTTAGGAAGAACCTGAAGCTTTCCTTCCCACAGCATTAGGCACTGCTTGGAGTACGAACAGGGCCCTGCCATCCCTGTCTATCCTGAGGCACTCATTGCATATTCAGTAATCCCATAACTATCCCCCTCCGAGAGTACTATTCAATGGACAATCGTCCCTTGTGTGGTTCCACCAACTACCCAATGGACACGCCTGCCATGCCAGATATTCTGCTCTCATTCTTAATGCATGTCAGACAGAACCATCCAAGATCAATAATAATAACTTGATCATAGTAGGAATTGTTTTAATGTTACAGATTATTTTTTTCATTAACTGCAAATTAATCAATTTTACTTTTTTTAATGCTGCCACAGTATTTTTGCTTTATTTTACTTTGTTCCTAGTTATTACACTAGTATTTTTTCACTTTCTATTAATGTTACATTTACAAAGTCTAAATTTTGGATCTACCCTGCTAGGTTTCCTTTTGTTTTTTCTTCTTCTAGAATATTTTAATATTCAGTTTACAGGCAGTCCCCGGGTTACGTACAAGATAGGGACTGTAGGTTTGTTCTTAAGTTGAATCTGTATGTAAGTCGGAACTGGCGTCCAGATTCAGACACTGCTGAAACTGACCGCCAGTTCTGACTTACATACAGAATCAACTTAAGAACCCCAGGCGTCCCCAAGTCAGCTGCTGCTGAAACTGATCAGCAGCTGATTCCAGGAAGCCCGGGGCAGAGCAACT